ACGCTCCTGTTCCCCAGCTCCTCCTTTCCGAGGGGGCTCCGGCGGGGGGCGGGCTGCGGGCTGCGGAGGGGCTGCGTGCCCGGCCCCCCGGGACTCCACCTCGCCGGCCAGGCCAGCCGCGCAGGGTGCACGGGGGAGGCGCCCGGCACCAGACACCGCCCCGGCGAGCCCGGCCTCTAGATGCGGCAGGCCACCCCGCGGGCCCGGCTGGCGGGAGGGCACGGCCCACGCGGTGCGACGCCCGGCTCGGTCGAGGCAGACGCGGAGAGCAGAGGCCGAGCAGCCCGGGAAGGCCCTCAGTCGCGGACGCCGAGCTGGTGGAGGCGAGCAGACACGGCCCTGCGGGCCCAGCGGAAGAGGCGAGCCAGCGTGTGGATGAAGGGCAGGGAGGACGGCGACGCTGCGGGGACAAGCGGGGCTGCCTGAGCGCCCTCCCTGCCTGCTCACGGCCCACCGCCCGCGCCCGGGAACCCCGCCAGCCTCTCGCCCCTCGGGGCCTCGACCCACCTGCCACTTGCCCTCCCTCTCCCCAAACTAGACCGCATCTCCCACGTCCCACCCCCCCAAGGAGACTCTACTGCCCTGCGTTTTTTTTAAGCACATTTTGGTACTTAGGATAATTCCCATCCTCTCCAATAAGAATTCCACTGTCTAGGATATATTCCCGGGGATACACTTTCTTCGCTTGAATGACAGTGCCTTCAATTTGCTGAGAAAAAGATCCAAAGGTATTATGCTTTAATCCAACTTTTTGCTATACAAGGAACTCGTATCAGTGGCTGCCTCTGGGGAGATGAATGTTATTTTATTCTGAGTTGGAGTCTCACTCTGTTGTCCAGGTTGGAGTGCAGTGGCACACTCACAGCCACCACAGCCTCAACCTGCTGGGCTCTGGCAATCCTTCTGCCTCAGCCTTCCAAGTAGCCGGAACGACAGGTGCGTGCTATCACACCTGGCTGATTTTTTAATTTATTGTAGAGACAAGGTCTCGCCAAGTTGACCAGGCTGGTCTTGAACCCCTGCGCTCAGGCAGTCCTCTTGTCTCGGCCTCCCAAAGTGCTGGGATTACAGGCTTGAGTCACCCATGGTACCCAGATGAGATGAATTTTAAATAAGACTTTTTTACTACATTTTTTACTTTTTGTACCTTTTAAATTTGGAGCCAAATGATAGTACTACCTATTTCTATTGTAAGTTAATTATATTGAAAATAAAATCAAGCAAAATCTACTGGACTTGTTTTTTCCCTTATTTGAATTATATTTTTTAAAGGGCAACCCCTTCAGGTCCCCTCCCATAGTGGGACCTTCTCTGTCCTCTCAATAAATACTGCTTTCTCATTTAGAAAAAAAAAAAATTAAAAAAAACCAGGGAAAATATATTGCTTAAAAGAAAAAAATGTTATTTTTTAAAAAGCTATCGACAGTCTACCCTCGTTATATTCCTTCTACCAAGTTTTCTATCTTATTTTTTTTTTTAATTATGGCCTTACTCTGTCACCCAGGCTGGAGTGCAGTGACACAATCACAGCTCACTGCAGCCTTGAACTCCTGGGCTCAAGAAGTACTCCCACCTCAGCCACCCAAGAAAAATTAGGTGGGTGCACCACACGCCCAGATAATTTTTTGATTTTTTTGGAGAGATGAGGTCTCACTATATTGCCCAGGCTGGACTCGAACTCCTGGGCTCAAGCAATCCTCCAGACTCAGCCTCCCAAAACACTGAGATGACAGGCGTGAGCCACCATGCCCGCCCCCTTCTTCCAAGTTCTAACTGCAGCGCAGGTACAGGTGCCTTTCTTCAGGCCCCACCGCCTCCATGAGCCGAGCTGCCACGGGGGCCAGGGCCTTCAGAAGAAGCTTCGAGCAGTCCTAGAAGGAGCAAGCTCAAAGGGCCTCATGCCGTCCCCACTGGAGATCAAGGCTTATGAGAGTAAAGGGCTTACAGGAACCACAGAGAACTTCTAAATGTTTATCAAGTCTCTGGAACAAAGCAGAAAGGCAGAGGGTAGACAGGAAGGAATATAACCAACCTCAGGATTTCTGAAAGCAAACTGGCCACTTTTTGTAAAGCAAACAGAGCTGTTCAGAGGGCATCCCTGCTTAGGGCTCACCAAAGGGGCTGAGAGGCCAACTCTGAGCCATGTGCAAAAAGCTAGCTGAGTAAGAGAAAGGAAGATGCGGGACACTGGGGAGATTCGAAGACTATGTCAAGAAATGGCTATCTAAAACAGACAAATCGTTTGTATGACCCTCAGCTGGTCACTTTACCTCTCTGGTTCTCAGGTTTCTCAACCAAGAAAGAAAAAAATGAAGGGACTAGTATAAGGGTTTCTGGGTCTTCCCTTCAGTTTTGAAAGTGACATAATTCTAAGTCTAAATTCATGAGATGAGTAGAGATTGGATCACAACTCGGAGCAACACAAAAAAATCCACAAGAATGAAACCTAATCCTGGTCCGGGACTCCTACACCTGAGGGACTCATCTTTGGGAGATAACAGGGCTGATCCCAAATGTCACCCTGGGAGCTCATTTCTACTTCACAGACAGGCAGAAACAGACTCATCATCAAATGTTCAATGATGGGTGCTGTGATATCAATTCTGGAAGTTTCTGCACACTGGGATACGTAGCCATCTAAAGCCAGGCTTGAAGGCATGCTGACGACATGCAGCAGCCCACAACCTCCTCGTTCTTAGAAAGGGCAGAAAGCACAGCAGCAGGTTTCTGGTTTCTTCTTTCTTTTTTTTGAATTAGAGTCTCACTCTGTTGCCCAGGTTGGAGTGCAGTGGCACGGCACACTCACAGCCACCCCAGTGTCGACCTGCTGGACTCCAGCGATCCTTCCACCTCAGCTTTCCAAGTAGCCAGAACTACAGGTGACGCTACCATGTCTGGCAAATTTTTGGTTTTTATTGTAAAGATAAGGCCTCACCAAGTTGCCCAGACTGTTCTCACAAGCCCGGGCTCAGGCGATCCCCTCACCTCGGCCTCCCAAAGTGCTGGGATTACAGGCTTGAGCCACCACGCCCAGCCTCTGGCTTCTTCTTTACACTTTTCTCCATTTTCCACATTTCCTAAGATGGGCATTTCATGTGCAGTTTGTGTTTTAAATGAACACTTCATTAGACACTAACACTCGAATTAACGCTTTTATAGACATTATGATGAGGGGGAAGTGTTTTGGCTTCACTCTGAGGTTCTAGCCAGAGTTCACCCCTAGAAGAAACCGATGACTGAATGACTCAGCTCCTGCTCGGGGGCCAGCAGGGCAGTGGGCCTTCCTTGGACTGCACACGTGGACTCAGGCTTGGCCTCTCCTTCCAGGTGGGGCTGGCTCATGCTTGGGTTCAGCAAGGCCTCTTTGCGGAAGAGACAGGGAAAAGTCCCAGGAAGGACCCCCCCCCCACCCTGTGGGGCTCTGACAAGCACATACTCCCTCAGACCCAGCCTGCCAAGGACCCCTTCCCCAGGAAGGGAGGGGCGAGGCAGGCTCCATCACTCACCTGGATCAAACCTCACCACCAAGAGACAGAGGATCAAGATGGCCAGAAGGCTCTTTTTGAAGGGCAGAGAAAGGAAGTGGCTCATCGCTGAATCCCAAAGCTGGCGGAGCAACATCGATAGTGACAGGAACTTGTGGGAGAGAGAGCCTGGCCAGGAAGACAGAGCCCAGTTTCAGGGAGGTCAGGGGAATCTGCTTCCCCTGGTAAGAGTCCAGCAAAGGGGATTAAAGGACTGACTAAAGGTGTTAACCTTCCCCGCAAGTACTGTTCGCAAATCTCATGCATATAAATTGCTTTCCTCATGTTTATCACTTATTTTGAAATGATTTTATTTTGCTGCACTGAACACATCTTTGAAAATACCATATCATGAAGGAGGAAAGAAAAAAAAAGAAATGAATGCATCTTTGTAAAAGTTCTTTGAAATCTTTCAGACAAGATTTGAAATACATAAACTTTTTACATGCTGGTTAAAAACAGTGAAGGGAAACACGTAAAATACTTTTCAAACTCTATAAAGGGTATGACCTGACCCAAAGCAATTGCAGTGAAAGAGAAAAATCTTTTACTTTTCCAAAAGACAAAGAGTTGAACTAGAGAATGAGAATGATTTTCTCATGTAGCTCATAAAGTAGATCTAAAAAAGTCCAAAAGTGTCAGATGCGGTGACCCACACCTGTCATCCCAGCATTTTGAGAGGTCGAGGCAGGAGGAATGCTTGAACCCAGGAGTTTGAGTCCAGTCTGCACAACATAGCAAGACCTCACCTCTAAAATAAGAAAAGAAAAGAAAAGAAAAAAATCCCCAAAATGTTGTAAGGACAGACCACGTCACCACACCTGGTGTCTTTTTAAATAGCCTCATTATTTTCTCAGGTACAATCCCTCTACAGATTGGCCCAGGAGTTTTGATTTGCTCCATTTCTGATCTGGGCTGGTTCACCCCTCCCTAGGCAACCTGGTGACTCCCAGGAGGTTACCATATTGATGCCAAACTTAGGGTAGACACCCAATCAGCATAGTATACTACAGTCCAGGGCTCCTGGACTCAAACAATCCTCTCACCCCAGCCTCCCCAGTACTAGCACATTCTACTGTGCCTGGCATTATTTTGCAGCATTCTTTATACAGAGGGAGTCCCCAAAGTGTATACACATTTTAGGAAAGGAAAAAAAACTATATTAAAATTGTAATACTCAGTATATACCAATAATAAAATATGAATACAAGTCACGTTTGACTTCTGCAATTACAAGAGGTGCTCAGAGTGGTTACCATCAGTGTCCAGACACTTCTGATTACAGAAAACATCTCTTCACATCTCTTAAAACGTCTATACATATTTTTGGCACCTCCAGTATTCTGGTCTAAGATGCATGCATAGTTATAATAGAGAGCAATCTGATTATCACACCAATGTGGGAAATGAGAGGTACTTAATACATGCAGTGAAGAACTCAAAAGTCTCAGACTATGAATATAAACATGAACACTATAAACAAGTGATGTCCTGTCCTGACAGAACCACCTGAACTTACCATCAAACCCCATCCCCCACCCTCAGAAAGTGCAAGGTAGAGGGCCTGGGTGGCCACGGGAATCCCTAAAGCCAACAACCTGCTTGCAAAGAAGTCATGCAGTCATTCTGTCTCCCTCTGCAGATGCATGCTCTGAAGCACACAAATAAAAACACTTTGGAGAAGAGAATTACAGTCTCCAATTAAATTTTAAAAAAAAAGGAATAGGCTTATTCTGTACACTATCAAAAGAAAAAACAGGGATCAGTAAGTAAAAACTACCAGGAGAAAAACTTCAATCAGCATAAGAAGCACTTCCTTACAGAACTGTGCACAGCTAGAATGTGTTGCTTCAGGATGTAGGGGTTTTTCTGTCCTCGAAAGAGTTCACACATAGACTAGTCACTCAAGGCAAAGGGCTGAAAGAATTCAGGGACCAGAGAAAGGATCTGCAGTAGAGGACAGAGGACTACTCGTGTCCCCTGTGTCCCTTGTGTCACAATAATCCCCATACCCGCCCTGTGTAGGTGGCCCCTGCATGACGTTGGCTGGGTGTACAGTGTTGGGTCTTCCATGGTTCCCTGCAGAAGCCCTTCTGTAAGTGTCCCCTGATGGGCAGGGTGCACCTCGACCACTGAAGAGAAGCTCTAGGAGGTGAAGGTAGACAGGAAGCTGGGCAAGTGGAGGATAAGGAATTTTTATCCCATAAATCAATTTACCAAGCTCTGCTCATGTCCTGTTTTCCTTTAGCCATCCCAGCTTGTCTCAGCTGTGTCTGTATCGGGCCAGCATTTAGAGGGGGAGGAATGCCCCGCCAGGCCAGCATGGTGAACGCAAGAGATCTAGCCAGAGGACCCCAAGGGAAAGGTGTCTTCCAGAAGACAAAAGTCAAGGTCCCGAGACCCAGTAACACCTCCCCACATGAAGATCCTCCTCCCATCACCAGCTTCCAAGGCTTGGCTTTGTCAAGCAATTCAACAGGCTTCCTCGTCTCCAATTTGGGAGTGAGTCTCACAAAGAATTGCTCCTAAGCTCCCAGGAATGTCATGATGGATCCCAAGATGCAGGGAAAGCCCGCAACTCCCCCTTACAGAGGTCAGATGGATGTCAGCCTACCTTCCTGGCTTGGCTTCTGGGCCTCCTCAGAGCCTGGGTTCTTCCGCTCCTGCTGCTGCCTTGCTGTGTGAATGGCCTGCAGGACATTCAGCCTCTGCTCCTCACCGAAGGCTGCAGAGCCTACCACGAGCTCCTCAGCCTCCAACAAGCGGCCCAAGGGCAGCAACACTCGCTGCACATGAAGTTCTGCCAACGCTCCATATTCTGGAAGGTTCTGGTTGGCTGGGTCTTGGAGCCAGGCACTGACCACATCCAGCACAGCTCCGGGCTCTTGCATTTTGCTGTATAAAAGAATGCTGCAGTCCCAAAAACCCAATCCCAAGGAAAGAAGAGTCAGTGCTCCACAGGAGAGAAGAGTTAGTGCCAGTTACCCCATTAACCACTCTGCTCTCTTATCCAGCCCTCTTGCATCTTCCAGCCTTTCCCGATGGAATGCTGACACTGCAAAGAATTAGGAATTTCTTATGGCAAACCCACAGCTAACATGATATGGACCAGAGAAAAGCTTCTCCTCTAAGATCAAGAACCAAGACAAGCATGCACACTTTCATCATGTCTATTCAACACAGTACTGTAAGTCCTAGCCAGAGCAATCAGGCAACAGAAAGAAACAAAAGGCATCCAAATTGGAAAGGAGGAGGTCACACTGTCCTTGTTCGCAGACAACATGAGTTTATATATACAACACCCTAATGACTCCACCAAAAAACTACTAGAACTTATAAATGGATTCAGTAAAGTTGGAGGAAACAAAAATCAACAGTGTTTCTATGCATTAATAGTCAATTACTGACAGGAGCTACACACACACACATACACACACACACACACACACACACACACACACACACACACACACACGATATTCAACCAAGGAGGTGAAAGATCATTACACGGAAAACTGTAAAACACTGATGAAATAAATTGCAGAGGACACAAATAAGTGGAAAATTATCCTATGTTCATGGGTTGCAGGAATTGTTAAAATGGCCATACCAACCACAATGATCTACAGATTCAATACAATCCCTATCAAAATACCAATGATATTATACAAAGAAATAGAAAAAAAAAACAAAACACCTAAAATTCATATGGAGCCACTAAAAGACCCCAAATAGCCAAAGCAATTTTGAGAAAAAGAACAAAGTTGGAGCTATCATATTACCCGACTTCAAAATATACTACAAAGCTACAGTAACCAAAAATAGCATGGCACCAGCATAAAACAGATACACAGTCCAATGGAACAGAACAGAGAACCCAGAAATAAATCCACATACATACAGCCAACTAATTTTGACAAAGGTGCCAAGAACACACACTGGGGCAGATAGTCTCTTCATATATGGTGCTGGGAACATTGGACATCCACATGCAGAAGAATGAGACCAGACCCTTACCTCTCACCATATAAGAATCAAGACTTAAGTCTAAAACCTAAAAATATGAAACTACTAAAAGCCATACAAGGAAATGCCTCATGAAATTGGGCTGGGCAAGGATTTTTTAAATGAGACCTCAAAAGCACACATAACAAAAGCAAAAATAGACAAATGGAATTATAACAAGCTAAGAAGCTTCTGTACGAGAAAGAAAATGATTAACAGGGTGAAAAGACAACCTACAGAGTGGGAGAAAATATCTGCAAACTATACATCTGACAAGGGTTTAATATCCAAAATATACAAGGAACTTAATTCAACAGCAAAAAACAAACAAGAACCAACCATACTAAAAAGTGAGCAAAAGACCTTAATAGACATTTTCCCAGGTCAGGTGCAGTGGCTCATGCCTAGAATCCCAGCACTTTGGGAGGCCGAGGTGAGAAGATTGCCTGAGCCTAGGGATTTGAGACCAGCCAGGGTAACTTGGCAAAACCTCATCTCTACAATAAATCAAACAATTAGCCAAATGTGATGGCACATGCCTGTAGTTTCAGCTACTTGGAAGGCTGAGGTGAAAGGATCACCTGAGCCCAGCAGGTCAAGGCTGCAGTAGCTGTGAGTGTGCCACTGCACTCCAGCTTGGGCAACAGAGTGAGACTCTGACTCAGAAAAAGAAAGAATACCAAAAGGCTAACAAGTATATGAAATCACTAATTGTCAGGGAACTGCAAATCAAAACCACATGAGACACCACCTCATATTCTAATTAGAATGACTATTATCAAAAAGAAGGGGAAAAGTGTTGGCAAGGAAGTGGAGAAAAGGAAACATTTTCACACAGTTGGTGGGTATGTAAATTACTAAAGACATTCTGGAAAATAATATAGCAGTTCCTCTAAAAAATAAAATGATCATATGATCTGGCAATCCCAATACTGGGTATATATCCAAAGGAAAGGAAATCAGTAGGTTGAAGAGATGTCTGCATTCCCATGTTTAATGCAGCCCTATTCACAATTAAGACATGGCACTTAAGTGCCCAAAAACAGGATGGATAAAGAAAACGTGTACACAGACACACACATCAGCTGTAAAAATGAATGAAATCCTGTCATTCCTGACAACATGGATGGACTTGGAGAACAGCAAGTTAAGTGAAATAAGCCAAACACAAAAAGAAATACCACATGGTCTCACTCATATGTGAGATCTTTAAAAAAAAGGTGCCGGGCTCGGTGGCTTAGCCTGAAATCCCATGTTTTGGGAGGCTGAGGTGAGTGGACTGCCTGAGCCCGCAGGTTCGAGACCCACCTGGGCAACTTGGCGAGACCTCATCTCTACAATAAATCAAAAAAATTCGCTGGGTGTGGGCATGCGGTTGTAGTTCCAGCTACTTGGAAGGCTGAGGTGGAAGGATCGCCCGCGCCCAGCAGGTCGAGGCTATGGTGGCCGGGACCATGCCACTGCACTCTAGTCTGGGCGACAGAGTGAGACTACACCTCAAAAAAATAAAAATAAATTTAAAAACTTTTTTAAAAGTTCAGGCCGGGCTCAGTGGCTCAGCCTATAATCCCAGCGCTTTGGGAAGCCTAGGCTGGTGGACTGCCTGAGCCCACGGGTTTGAGAGACCTACCCGGGAAACTTGGTGAGACCTCATCTCTACAATAAATTTTAAAAAATTAGCTGGGTGTGGCAGCGCATGCCTGTAGTTCTGGCAATTTGGAAGGCTGAGGCAGAAGGAATGCAGGAGCCCAGCAGGTTGAGGCTGCAGTGGCCGGGGGGCGTGCCACTGCACTTCAGTCTGTATGACAGAGTGAGACTCCAACTCAAAAAAAAAAAAAAAAAAAGTTAAGCACTTTGGGAGGCCGAGGCAAGAGAACTACCTGAACTCAGGGGTTCGAGACCAGCCTGGGCAACTTGGCGAGACCTCGTCTCTACAATAAATCAAAAAATAAGCTGGGCGTGGTGGCGCACACCTGTGGTTCCAGCTACTTGGAAGGTTGAGGTGGAAGGATCACCTGAGCCCAGCAGATCGAGGCTGCAGTGGCTGTGAGTGTTCCACTGCACTCCAGGCTGGGTGACAGAGTGAGGCTCCGACTAAAAAAAAAAATTGATTATCGTAGAAGCAGAAAATAGAACAGTAGTTACAAGAGACTGGGAGGGGAGGGAGGTGAGGAAGACAGGGAGATTGGTTAAGGGTTACAAATTTAAATTAGACAGGAGGAATAAGTTCTGGTGTTCTACTACACAACAGGGTGAGGATGGTATTCTATGTAACAAAATACCTAGAAGAGAGGTTTTCCAATGTTCTCATCACAAAGAAATGATAATTGCATGAGGTGATGGTTATGCTACCTAACCTCATTTAAACATTATACAACATGTACGGTATGCATGAAAACTTCAAAGTGCACTTCACAAATATGTAAAATTACAATGTGTCAATTAAAAAATTTTTTTCCCAAGAACTAGGGATTCAGGCCAGGTGGTAGCTCATGCCTGTAATCCAAGTGCTGGGGGAGGCCAAGGTGGGAGGACTGCTTGAGCCCAGGAGTTTGGGAGCAGCCTGGGCAACATAGTGAGACCCTGTTTCTACAAGAAAAATTTAAAAATTAGCTGGGTTTGGTGGCATGTGCCTGTAGTCTCAACCACTTGGGAGCAGAGGCAGAAGGATCGCCTGAGCCCAGGAGGTTGGGGCTGCAGTAAGCAGGGATCGTGCCACTGCACTCCAGCCTGGGTAACAGTGAGACCCCGACTCACGAAAAGGACTAGAAATCCTTAGAGGCAGCAAGCAGCTCCATCAGCTCTGTCATCTCATTCACTCTATTCCCTGTGTCCCCTCTCCTCATTCTCTCCTCCCGCCCACTCCTACACTCTTCCCCCTTCCCCGGCCTTTATTGCTATGTTTTGAGGGCTGAAAAAAAAAGTGGGGAAAAGAGATGTGGAGGAAAATGGCAGGGAAGGAGAAAAGAGTAGGTATTAGATCTGATTTAGGAGAGGACATGAAACTCCTTATTCCTATACTGATCTGATGAGTCAGCAACAGGGACCTACCACAGCTCCAGGACTTTGGGGGGCAGCTTTTCAGGAACCTGGTAATACTGAAGGACCCAGGAGAGGGCTTCACGCCACCGATCCATTTCTGCCAGGGCCTGGATCCCCACAACACACAGGGAGCACTTCACCTCCCAGGAGCTGTCAACAGAGACCAATTTGGGTTAGAAGTGGCTCCCCTCCGTTTCCATTCCCACCTCCATCCTGGGACTGCATTCTCCAGCTCCCAACTTAGCAGCCACCACCTCTCCTCCATTCATATTCACAGGAGCTTCACAATCAGTCTCTTGGGCTGCCCTTCCCCCAGAAACCAGACGTTCCTGTAAACCACTTAGAGGCAAATCAGCTGTTGCCCAATCAGGTTTAAATGAGCAGGAAGGGAGAGCCTGAGGGGACAATGCCAACGTGCAGCACAGCAGTGTGGGTCAAAAAAGCTGCAGCTAAGCGTTTGCCTAGTGAAATGGACTTGGGGCAAGGTTTCTGGCTGAGCTGTAGGAACTCAAGTGGCCTTCTAAGGTTCCTCCAGACATCCAGAGGCAAAGGCTTCAGCATTCTCTGTAACAAGCTGTGGGGTGTTGTCTGGATATAGACCGTTTTCCCCCATATCTGGCTCCTTTCTGCCCCCTTCCTCAGGGAGCAGCTTCTGGTCAAGGTTGGTCTCTGACGGGCATGCATTTTCCCAGTAATGAGTCAAGGGATGCAGTGACCAAGCAAAACTGAAAACACTGTAGTCATCACTCTTCATGTAATAGTAAACACCGTAAATTTAACTGCTTGACTTGCTTGCCTATAAAAGTGCTTGCCATGAGGGTTGGATTCTTCACAGACCCTGACCTGCTGCCATCAGTGCCTCCCTTAAGAATAAAACAGGCACGCCACTACAGTCGGGCTCGGCGGCTCAGCCTGTCATCCCGCGCCTTTGGGAGGCTGAGGTGAGTGGATTGCCTGAGCTTGTGGATTTGAGACCTGCCTGGGAAGGCGAGACCTTATCTCTACAATCAATCAAAAAATTAGCCAGGAGTAGCTCCAGCAACTTGGAAGGCTGAGGCAGAAGAATCACCTGAGCCCAGCAGGTTGAGGCTCAGTGGCCATGAGTGTGCTTACTCCCCAAAAAAAGAATAAACAATGTCTCCCTACTGGACCTCCGGGTGACTTCTTTGGAATAAGTAAACCATGGACAAACCCTCTCAGATTTGGGGTTACTGTGTTACACAACCCCCCCCCCACAACTCCCTAAAACACAGCCAGGGCTCCCTCAGTTAATCCTTCTCTGCAGTCAGCGTTGAATATTCTACCCACCGCCTTCCTAGTGTAGCCTAACCCAACTCTGCAATCCACCGAGAAACGATGCCCTTGCCTGCCAGAGGAGTCTGGTGGCATTAGAAAGAGCAAGGCAGTATGTTCTCACTCATAAGCGGAACTTGAACAATTATAATACTGTAAGAAAGGGACTGGCAGTAGTTGGAAACTGAGAGGGGAGGGGGATGGGACTGGCAATTAAGGGAAACTGCTAGGGGAGAGAGGGCATACTTCATAATAAGGGTACTTGCATAATCAACGTTTGTACACCTAATTGTACTCCACATCTTTATATTAAAAGAAGTTTAAAAAAAGAAAGAAAGAAAGAGCAATGCAGGACCAAGGCTTTCTCCGGATCAATTCTTTAATCCAGTTCTTCAATAAGACCAGAACACTACTCCTGCCATGACCCCCATTCTCCACTATCAGCCAAGGTCAAGAGTAAACAACTTGGGGGAAGGGGCATTACCTAAGAGAGGACTTCCGGCACCCGCTTACTGACAGAACTTAGGCACTGAACACACACTCAACCTTCCCATTCTACCCTGGAACAGGGATCAAATAAAAGTCAGTGGCTTCCCACAAAGCTCTGTCACACGACTTGACCACTTCTTCATCGTGCAGTGCCTCGGTTCTCCTTCCGTAGAATGGGCACAAGATGAGCAATCCGCCTCTCAAAGAGAAACCACAAATGTAAAGCAATCTGGGAATGACAGAAATCCTGAGTCCCTCCCCAAGAGCACCCGGAAACGAACCGAGCCCAGCACGTACGTGTCCGCGGGCTCCTCTGTCAGGGCGTCGTTGGCCAGACTCCGCCAGGCCCGCTCGCAGGTCTCCAGCGACGCCTGGAAGTCCAAGTGCACCACCAAGAGGTCGGCCGCCTCCTCCAGCAGGTCCATGGCCGGCGCCCGGGCCGGGGCGGCGCGCACTGGCTCGCTGCTGCGCAGGGGACCCCCGGACCCCCGGAGGGGGCCCGCAGAGGCCGAGGGGTCGCTCTTCATAGCCAGTCCGGGCTCAGGGCCTGTCTCCGCCGACGTCAGAGTGACAGCCTCTCCGGAGTTGCCGGGATATCCCGAGTTGGCCTGGGAGAAAAGGGAGAGTCCTCACATGCCAGCAGCCTGTCCCGAGGGCGATTCCTAGAGGAGGAACAGGAAAGGCCTCGCCTGGCGGCTGGGGAGCCAGTTTACACCTGGGATTTGCAGAATTTGTTGTATCCCTGAAACACACTCAACTTGGCTCACGACACGTGCCGGAGCCACCTTGGGTTCGGGTCCCTGGTTATGAACAGAACCGCTCAGCGCGCCGCCGAGCAGCGGACGCGGCCATTTTTCGAGCTCTCGTAGCCCCGCAGACGCGCGACTTCCGGCGGCGCGGGGAACTCTGGGAGTTGTAGTTCTCCGGCTCTCGGCTCGTCGCCGCCTTCTAGGTGCAGGCTGGAAGGTTTGGACTACAACCCCCAGCATGCCGCGCCCCAGAAACCGTCGCTGTCCCGGGTGGAAACAAACCAGCACAGCAACTTCGGGATGGGGAGACAGGGGCCGACGAACCGCGAGCAAAACCGAGGCTGTCTTGGGAGAGGGGACGACCTCTCGCTAACGAAAGAAAATCCTGTCATGGGGGTGCAGCTGCATGCACGCTTCTAATCCGGCGCCTCCGTGCGGGGCACTCAGTTAAGGCTTCTGCAGGAGAGTCTAGGAGGGACACTGAAAGGAGCCATCAGAGTTGGCCACTGTTGTGAACTTGTTCCACCTCCGGGGCCCGGCACTGTGCTAAAGCGCTTCGCGTGAAACCTTACGCATTTTTAACATCAGATCTCGTGAGCCAAGGACAACTGTTTCCCCCAGTTTACAGCTGAAGAAATGGGAGCTTACTGAAATAATTTGCCGAAAGCCACACAACCAGTAAGGGACAAAATCTCAGTCAAACCGAAACTCTCTTCGCTCAAAGGCATGGACTTAGCCACTCTTCTGCCCTGCAGGGTTAGAGCTAAGGCTCTGCCTCTTTTCGGGGGATGCACAGTCATCCCACGAGCAAAATAGTCAAGCTCCTTGAGCCTTCACTGTTTCATGTAAAATAAGAATATTGTGAAAAACAAAGCCATACAATGTGCAATGCAATGTGCAATACAGTACTAACACCAGAGTAGGTGTTTGCTAAATTGTAGCTATAATAATTATATACTTTTACACATTACCATACATCACACTTATTATTGTATTCTGTGCTTCACCAAGGCTTTGTCAAGCCTCCCATGTTTGCACTAATATGCCCTCTGCTGAATATAAAGCCTTTCAGGTTTTTTTTGACACAGAGTCTTACTGTAGCCCAAGCTGGAGTGCAGTGGCATGATCACAGCTCACTATAGCCTCGACCTCTTGGGCTGAGGCAATCTTTCCGCCTCAGCCCCCGAGTAGCTGGGACTACAGGTGCAAGTCACCATGCCTGGCTAATTTTTGTATTTTTTGTAGAGACGAGGTCTCCCTATGTCACCCTAGCTGGTCTTGCACTCCTGTGCCCAAGCAATTCTGCCTCGACTTCCCAAAGTGCTGAGATTACAGGTGTGAGCCACCATACCTGGCCTTCTCTACCTTTTGAACTCTCTCCAAGGCTTCCCTGGAATCATTTACTCCCCTAGAGATTAGATTGGACAGGCCGGGCACCAGACATACACACACCCATCTTCTGGGCTTTCAGCTCTCTGCAGAAAGTCTTCATGGGAAGCTGAGGCAGAAACATCTATTCTACAGACTCTGAGGAAAGACAAGTATGGACCCTGTACTCATATAAGTGAAGCCAGGACTTCACATATCCCACAATTACTTTTTGACTACCTACTTACAGTGGTGCTAGGGTATGGATAGGGTGAGGGTGGATGAATGGAGAGAGAGGCGAGGGGAGGCGCAACACTGCTGGACCCAGTACTGGTGTGCCAGCAACCCAGAGATCCGAGTAATGCAAAGAATTGCGACACACAAAGAGGTGAGAGAAGAAAAGATTTAAGATAGGTTGACTCCCGACAGACAGGGAGCGGGCCTACACTTTAGATGAGTGCGGCCGCGTAGCCCCTCCGAGCCCTGGCTTAAATCCTTTCCCGTGGAGGTGTTGCAGTCAGGTAGACGTGACTGTCCTGACTTCCTAATTGACCACCTGCAGATATCTTGGAGATCCCGTGACACAGAGACCTGTTAAAGTCTGTCCATATTATCACAGCCCCCAGAGAAAGGTGTGACAAGGATTCCAGTGCTCCTGCACCTTCCCAAATGACATTCCTTAGAGCTAATGGAGGGTGCACCTCCCCCTATCTCCCATACATTCCCAGTGGGTAGCTTCGGGGGATCATTGACTTCCCTGTAGATAGCACCCAATGTACTGGAAGATCGAATTCCCACCTGCTCCCCCTCTGAGCAGTCATAACTTTTGTAATTACAAGTTTCATGACTTCTAAATCCTTGCCCAATGCATGATGTCTTAGGCCTTGTAAATTCCCTTTACTCTAGGCAAGGTTGATTGCCACTATGAGATACCTCTGGCATCAGGAAGTTTGTGTTTCTGAAAAGACAAAGCCGGCAAGGTTAATTTTTCCTAAAGTATGCATTTCTCCAAAACATAGCTTCTACTTTCTCGTCATTGTGTTAAGGTTTAGGAACAAGATAAAAAATGGCTTTCGGCTCTCGGTCTGTCCTTTCAGGTGGTAAGCATTGTTCTAGGTATGGGGGATCCTGTGGTGAACAAGAGACAAAATGTAGCCTTTGTGAGCTTATGTCATAGAAAAAGACAACAAAAAATAAGCAAGTTGCTGGGAGCAGTGGCTCTTACCTGTTATTCCAGCACTTTGGGAGGCAGAGGCGGAAGAATTGCTTGAGCTCGGGAGTTCAAGACCAGCCTGGGCAACATAGCGAGATCTCATCCCTACAAAAAAACAAAAACAAAAAACAAACTGGTAAAACAACAAATAAAATATAGAGAGTAGTGTTTCAGATGGTGATAAATGCTAAGAAGAAATAAAATAGAGAGGAGAGGTTGAGAAAGGCAACAGTAGGAAGACAGGACTGTATCTGCATTTGGCTTCATTTTCTTTTTTTGAGTCAGAGTCTCACTTTGTCACCCAGGCTGCAGTGCGGTGGCACGCTCACGGCCACTGCAGCTTCAACGTGCTGGGCTCAGGCGATCCTTCCACCTCAGCCTTCCCAGTTGCTGGAACTACAGGTGTGCGCCACCACGCCCGGCTAATTTTTTTATTTATATATATATATATTTAGTTAGAGTCTCACTCTGCCAATCAGGCTGGAAGGCAGTAGCACAATCCTGGCCATTGCAGCCTCAACCGACTGGGCTCAGGCAATCCTTCTTCCTCAGCCTCCCAAGTCACTGAAACAACAGGAGTGCACCACCATGCCTGTACAGTTTTTTGATTTCTTGTAGAGATGAGGTTTTGCCAAGTTGCCCAGGCTGGTTTTGAAACCCTGGGCTCAGGCAATCCTCTTGCCTCCACCTTCCAAAGTTCTGGGATGACAGGCACGAGCCACCGTGCCCAGCTAGCTTGATTTTCTAACCACAAATCCGGGGAACAGAGCAGAGAAAATGAGGCCTTCACACTACGCACTGACCCCCGTCGGTGGGGTCACGACGCATCTGGGGACACCGCCCTGGGGACCAACATATTCTCAGTGATCGGCGACACCCTAAGTCCCCGATCTTCAGCAGGCAGAATTCGTTCCCCCACCAAAAACTCCAGAAGCAAAGCCCAGAGACCTGGAGAGTGCGACTCAGTCTAACGCCTAGGCCGTCAAAATGTTTGACTGACCTCGAATTTGACATTAGATGCTGATCATCAGTAATCACATACTTATTGGGCAGCATTTAAAAAAAACATTTTCAGAACTGAGTTTAGAAGTCTGCGCTGAAAAATCAGAGAAGCAGTAAGAGCAGCAGGAAACGGGCCTGACCAGGCCGGGACAAGTTGAGACTGGCACAACCCCATCCCTTCCAGGTGCCGCTCGATGCTGTTGTCTGGAAAAGTCCCCTTCCTCAGTCCCTGACAAAGTTCTTGCTGTTCCAAACTTGGCCAGGAGATGGCAGCCCAGGCCGAAACGAAGCAACCTCGCCAAAAACAAATCTTCCTGTTTAGTAGCGAGGCCGCCGGAATGAGGTCAAGATAATTAAAGCCAAGGAGGGGAGGGCTAAACATTATATAAAACTATAATTGCGTTCCATTCCTGTGATCCACCCCATTATTTTTTTAAGTGGGAATCTCACTCTGTTGCCCAGGCTGGGGTGCAGTGGCACGCTCACGGCCACCGCAGCCTGGACCTGCTGGGCTCAGGCGATCCTCCTGGCTTGGCCTCCCCAGTAGCTGGAACCGCAGGCATGTGCCACCACACCCGGCTAATTTCTTTCTTTCTTTTTTTATTTTATTTTTTTATTTTTTTGCGTTGGAGTCTCACTCTGTCGCCCAGACTGGAGTTCAGTAACCGCTCTCGGCCACTGCAGCCTCGACCTGCTGGGCTCCAGTGATCCTTCCGCCTCAGCCTTCCAAGTAGCTGGAACTACAGGCGTGCACTACCATGCCCAGCTAACTTTTTTATTTACTATAGAAATGAGGTCTCGCCAAGTTGCCCAGGCGGGTCTCGAACCCATGGGCTCAGGCAATCCATTCACCTCAGCCTCCCAAAGCATGGGATTACAGGTTGAGCCACCGAGCCTGGCTTTTTTTTAAATTGTAGAAACAAGATCTCGCTAAGTTGTCCGGGCTAGACTTGAACCCCTGGACTCAGGCAATCTTCTCAGCTCCGCCTCCCAAAGTGCTGGGATCACAGGCGTGTATGGAGTCACCTAACTTTCAGCACTGTTCCGCCCACTCATGGATTCCTCTGCACACATCCACTGTTATACACCGCCGTCTCCTCACGTCTCAACGTACCCAGAACTTCTCAAGCTAAGACGCAGAAGTCCTCAGCAGAAGCAAATCCTTGCCATCCAAGAGAGAGAACGAATGGCATTGACTCCACCTAGCCAGCCAGCCTTCTTCTGACTCAGGGCTCGTGATGCATTGAAACCACCTCTCCTCCTTGCAGCTACCCACCTGTAGGATAAACCACAT